ATATCATAACATGAGAAATATTATAACATTATTTATCTCATAATTTTGAAAAAATTGATGTGATTTAATGCAAAAATTTATGTCTAAAGTAAAAAATCATAAAATTTTATTAAAGCATAATATTAATATTCAAAAACATATGTCACATATAGTTTTGAATATTCAGAAACCTATTGATATAATACATAGATGTGATGAATTTTTTTTGAGAATTCCAAGATACCAAATAAGTAAAACATGGAGGAGTATCAAATAAATCCTACAAAAAGTCAAATATTTTATTTTGAAGCAAGATGATAACGCATTCATACAACAAAGTAATCTTCATGTCAAAAAATTGCTAATGAAATCTTTAATGCAAATAAACTCTACTACAATATATGCTTGATAGTTGGAAAAACATCTAATTTACACTCCAAATGCTCAACTATATATGGCAAATAGAACTTTTAACACATGCCCATGCATGCGTGGAATAAACGATAGTAGTCCGCCATGCCTAATTTATCTAAATGGTTATTTGCTTTCGCGCCTAAATTAATGCGGAGGAGCAGTTAACAGGCTCAGAATCGTTATGGGGGGTAATGGTTCAACATGTGATTCAACACTCTCTCGCTCGCTGCGTGTAAAATACTGCGATTTGCACTCTTTCCTAGGATACCATACCGAGCTTATTTTTGAAAAGACACGCTCTCTCTCTTGCTGCGTGTAGGATACTACGATTTGCACTCTCTCCTAGGAGATTGGATTGAGTATATTCTTGGAAAGACATGCATTCTCTCGCTTGCTGCGTGTAGGATCCTGGACCGAGGACATTCTTGGTGATACAGCCGCGCAACCTAGACATCTCGACCAAATTTAAGAGCAACCAACCAGACGAAAAAGAGTTGAGTTCAGTCCATTCCAGCTCACATCGATGCATGCGATCATCCCCGAAGCCCAAAACGTAAACCGTAACAAGAATCTTGCAGCTTCAGAACAATCTTTGATACGACGCCACATGACAGCTCTAAAGAGATGAATCTAACATAAATTCATCTAGAGACAGCCTCGTCGGCGACATGCCAGATCTTTCTGCATGCGTGTGACCGATGTCTTTCAGGATGAAGTTTTCTCCTGATACAGAAAACAAGAGTTTGCTATTAAGGTGTGATATCTGGTATATTGCACGCAAAAACAAAATAAAGTGAAATGGAATCTAGTAGGGAGAAGCTAATATTATGATATTGTTGAGTTTTTTGTTGCCTTAGATAAATTAAATTAATGAAGCTCATACTCTTCTCTACATTCTCTTTGGAATAATCCCAGTCTGTATCGAGAGTCATATTCTTGGACGGAGAGTGAATAGTTAGATATTGGAACTTAAGTAACTCTATGAATGTTAGTATCTCCTGCTAACTGAAACAATATGAATCTTTTCAGCTGGTAGGGACTTGCTTCCGGCTGTTCAAGATGCTTCAATAATTCAATGCTTAATGCTGCCTAAATTCATGATTGCTTTCATGATATAAGCATGCTTGCACATGTGTATAGGGTCGGTGATCTTCATTAGAATAAAATATATAAAGACATATTGATCCTAATAATGCTAATATTACTAAAACTACGATGGTCTTTCCTCAAATCTTAGGTAGAGTAAAAGACTTAAAACATTTAAATTCTTATTAGGATGACAACAAACAAAATTCTCAAACATAAAATGAAAAGTGTTCAAAATCCTAGTATATTTTCCAACTTGATCAAAATTCTTACACCATGGGGATCAAATATACCATAAAATCATGAAATTCCATTCAATCCCCAAACTATAAAAGAGGGATTTATAAAAATATTCGGACCCTTATTTCATATTTGAGAAAAAAATGAAAACCATGAAAAGTTTTATAAATTGAAAACCTCAATATGTATAAATATAAATTAATTAGTTAATTTACTCGCAAAGAGAGAAGATGGTATCATTTTTGAGTGCTCGCCTACTCTCTTCTCTCCCGCTAGCATACCGTCATCGCCACCGTCGCATCTTTCTGTAAGAAAGTTTGAGTATGTCGGTCTGTGATTCTCCAGGAGGCGGGAAGCTCAGCTAGTGCCATGTGGCATCATCCCGTATTAGCTTTGCAACCGTTTTACAAAGCTGTGGTGCGCCAAACACATGGACAGCCCTCTCATTGTACGGACCGCACGCCTTAGTTGTACTCCTCTTCATACTATAAGGAATGTTCGAGTACGTTGGGAAGAACTAATTGCTAATCAAATTTTTTTCTTCATATTCGATACCTCTATCACATGATTACCATTACATACTTGTATGCAGGGGTGATACCATCGGGTTTTTCTCAATCGGGTTTTAATGGGTATTTTTAATAAAACCCGACATCGAGGATTGAGCGAATTTTAGGTTGTAATAGATTTTAATACCTAGTAGGTTTAAGCATATTCTATGGCGTGCACACAGTTTGATGTTGTAGTTAGCGGTCGATTGGAAGAATGTATTTATTGTTATGATTTCTGGCTTTATATAGTCGTTGGAATGTTCTTTGGGGAATGTTCCATGTTCCAAGTCTCAACCTCTATGCCTCGTCTAATCAAACCTAGGTTTTAATAGGCTAAAATCGGGTTTTAATGATCGAAAGATAAAACCCGATTGTCTCGACAAAAAAATTCGGGGGTTTTCCATCACTGCTTGTATGCCTTCATGCAATATTCCCTTGAGAATTTTTCATCCACTTAGTTGTAAGCTAATAGTATATAATTCACACTATAAAGAAAACGTTTAGAAATTGGAAAGCAAGTTTGTAGCTGGATGTGATGTGGCGATAAACAGAAAAATATTCCGCTTTTTTCTATGAACATGAATTGTGATTTTTCATCCTTAAAAACATTTCCGAAACCTACTTCTATAGGTTGAGTGCCTCAAGATCGATCTGAATGTTTCAGGGGCGATCTAAAATCTATTGGAGGTACAAGAACAACAGCACAGATAAAACTATCTGGTTACTGGTTTTGGTTGGCCCGTGATTTTCACTTGTTAGTGTCCTAAGGTGATCTCAACCCGAGACTAGTTCGATTCCAGTCTTGGTGGGAGATAATATTCACGTTCATAAAATAAAGCTCTGGCGCCTGTCTCCTTGAAGAAAAATGGAGTAGTATGAATGTGAAAGTATGTCATTTCAAGGTTTGTAGGGACTAAATCGTTTTGTCACCTCCACAGGCAAAGGGAGTTCGAACGTTTTACTGCATACTGGTTTTGGACTTTCAGGCGAGTGGCATCCATGATGCAAACGTGTTTGAATTGAAACAATGCTACAAGTCGACCTTTCGTTAGTGGGAGTAGGTCAACGAAAGCATAAGCTCTTTGTCTGCTTTGCCCACTTGTTACTGCTCGAAATATCATGTTCGAGCCTAACGGTTATTTCTGAGTTCCGCTACGAATTCGAAAAAGCTCGAAAAAAACGAGAACAGAACATAATTGTACAATACCGTATTTCTGACCCTACTCCGAGTATGCGTCGACTGGGCAGCATGCACAGAGGTGTGTGTGCTGCATGTTTCCCTTGTGTCCGATGCCTACAGCTTTTGCAGGCAATAATTGGTCGCCTTCTGCGTTCTGTATTTCGAACCACACGCAACGCTCAATTCTCTGCAATACATGGGGGCTGAAACCTTGAGCTTTCGCCCACACCCTCGCCTTTTCTTCTCCATTGTCTGTGCACCTACACTCTTAGAACTTGGCATGAGGTGCCAGACATATGACCGAAATGGTCAAAATTAAAGCGAAATTTAGAACGCATGTGAAGCCGATCACACAAAGTCAAATGTAGGCCGATAGTCCCATGGTAGCCCTACTCGCAGCATCCTCAGGCTCCTCTCCACCGTATTTCTCACTGCCCTGTATGCCCAATCAGGAATTGCGGAAAATGCCCTTGTCTCTTTGGCAATTTAATCGCTCAGATATGATTGTACGGCGGGTGATGTCATCTGTACCCGGCCCCCACTGCAAGCCTTAAGCTGGCAAGGGCAATGTTTTTACCCGTATTTAGAAAGCATAGTTCTCCTCCGCCTTCATGGTTCTCGGGCTTGTCGACACATTAGCAGCACGAGGAGGAGGAGGAAAGGCATTTCACGAGTCCCGACAATGTAGCAGAGGAGGAGAAGCCGAAGAAAAGGAAGCAGAAGTGTTTGTCAGGTCCAACCTTGCACCAGCACTCTCGTCTGGAGCCCCCGGTAAAGTACGCCGAGCAGCCAATTGCGTTCCCGGCGAAGTCTGGTCCGTCGCTCGCCTGCCACAAGAACGCACCGTGTACCGCTGGTTCACAGCGTCTTCCTTGCCTTCTTTGCAGACAAGCCTTTTTGGAGCGCCCGTCGGTGAGTAGCCGACGGGCTCCATCTACCCGCGGCAGTCGGAGCTTGCGTCAGTTACGAACTTACGGGCCCTGGAAATACCGGTACGCGTCGAGCATGATGGTCGACGCTTCCTCATTGCAGCCCATCATGTGCATGGTCAGGCCCCTGCGTCCGCTGGTCCTCATGTGTGTCGGGAAGTGGAGCGCGAGGCTCCGCTGCGCACTGATGGAACGGGGGGCGCTTTCCGTGCGTCCGTCAGGACCGGCGTCGGGGAAAATGGTCGGGGTTGCGGAACTCGCGGGGAGGGTCTCCGCCCGGGCCCCGGACGTGCAGGTATGGAGAATGAAAGGCGGGAAAGGGGAGAGGGGATCTGCGGCGCAGACGGATCTGACGAGCGAGGGACGAGACGGGAGGAGCATGTAGGTCGAGGAAGAGGTGAGAGCCGGTGAAGACGACACTCCGCGGGAAGGGGGGCAGCGCAGCGGCGGAATTTGCGCCTTCGGGGGCTCTGCCAGGGGCAGCTGGTGATGGCACGGGGGAGGGGAGCCCGGGCAAGTGTGGGACAGCGCAGCGCGGGGGTGGACGCACGCCTGCCCGAGATAGCTCACTGGGGAGCGGCCGGAATGTCCATGACAGGCGCCGAGATGCTCGACTGGCTCAGTTCGTTCTGACTGACTGCCCTGCCTGGGCTGGCTGGGCGGGCCTGGTTACGGTTTGCGGCGAGCACCTGGTATCGGGGTCGGTCGGGTCACCTCTGCATCGGCCTGCTCTCTGCGCTCTAATTTGACATGGCGATGGTGTACTTGTCACTGGTGGGAGTCTCGTCTACGTCGCATCGAATTGGCAGCAAGGTCGTAAAAGGCGCCAGGCCCTGTTGAGCAATCAGCTGCACGCTGCATTGGCCGGCCCCGAAGCAGGACGTGGAGCGAGTGTCCGAGTTACTGGTTCCTAATTCTCTGGACTGGCCCTTAGCCCGCTTCGATCAGTGGGAGGAAGTTTCGGGGTCTTGAGCCTCGCCGCGCTCGGCACCTCTCTCCACCTGCGGGCGTTCTGATTTGTCTTATTTCTGGTTTCAGAACGCCTGCTCTGTACAGCTCGAATCATACGAGACGAGCATTTCATCGGTCTCCTCCCATTTTACCAGCGGGAGTCTCTGGTCTGGGCCCTGGCAGGGACGTGCTGACACATCGCTCGCATCACGCTCTGTGATCTTGGCACCCTAAGGATCGTCTGCACGGAGTTCTGAGGACGGGGCCTGGTGACAGCCCTATACAACTTCGGGCCCTTTTTCTTGTACACTAGCCTGCATTGTTTGTACTAATCGCTCTCTTCGCAGCGCAGTCTGTTCCGTAGTTGCTGCGAAGATTTGTGATAGTCCAACGCCATCGTCAGGACGAGTTTGGCGGCAGTTTCGAGCAGGGAGGCAGTAGAGGATCCAGACGGCCAGCTTCCGGATCGCTATTCTCCTGTTGTGTCAGTACGTAAGGAGTCTATGGTCTTTCTTTGAGTAGTCTGGGTGGTCGCGGGGAGCTGTATCATCGTGTTCAACGTCACCTCGACCTGCGATGTGTCAAGGCTGAATCGTGTACTGCGCATGACTAGCAAGAAGCAATTAAGAGTGCGGATGGAGAAAGTTGGCTTGATGAGTCGGCTCCGCACTCGGTGCATCTTGGTTGCAGTTTCCGTTGCCTTCGGATGGCTGCTGTTCGTATTTCACTTTGTTTCGGTCGGCCGCACCCCAGAGTCGAACGCGAATACTCAGGTTAACCTTCCTTTCCTTGCTTGGCAACAAAGAGAGTCATTGAGGAGCAGCTTCCTCCCATCTCCGGAGAAATTTGCCTCCAGGGATACTCTATCAGAAGCCGAAGCTCAAACATTTACGGATACCGGATCGCTAGAGGTTGGCCAGGTCGACATCAGCAATCAAGAGGCCGATTGCAGGGGCAAGTATCTGTATCTCTATGAGCTCCCCAAGATGTTCAACGAGCGACTGCTCGAGGGATGTGAGGGTCTTACAATGTGGGCGGACATGTGCAAAGAAACTGTGAACCAGGGCTTTGGTCCCCCGATGGAAGATCCTGATGGTGTGTTTCAGGGACCAGCGTGGTATGCTACAAATCAATTCATGTTGGAGCTGATTTTCCACGATAGAATTAGGAAGCACAAATGTTTGACTCAAGATTCGTCCAAGGCTAATGCACTGTTCGTTCCGTTTTACGGCGGCCTGGATGTAATGCCTCACCTTTGGGACGGGGCCAACATTACGGAGAGAGACTCTGTGCCTAAAGCCCTTGAAAAGTGGTTGATGAATAGACCCGAGTGGAAGCGGCTGGATGGGCACGATCACTTCATGACAGGCGGAAGGATAACGTGGGATTTCCGAAGGAGAACCGAGCAGGAGAGTGACTGGGGCAACAAGCTCTTGCTCCTTCCCGGCATTGTGAACCTTACCACTCTCATTATCGAAGCGAGTCCGTGGCATCCGAACGACTATGCAGTGCCATATCCTACCTATTTTCATCCATCAACTGACGAACAGGTTCTCAGCTGGCAAGATTTCGTCAGGAAAGCAAAGAGGCCGTCCTTGTTTTGTTTTGCTGGGGCTCCTCGTCCTGAGATAGACGCGTCCATTCGATCGCAGCTCATGTCGCACTGCGACAAGTCAGAGTATTGCAATCTTCTGGCATGCGGAAAATCGCACGGCAAGTGCCATTCACCAAGCAATGTTATGAAGCTCTTCAAAGAGTCAGTCTTTTGCTTGCAACCCCAAGGCGACTCATTTACTCGCAGATCCATCTTCGACTCGATGCTAGCCGGTTGTATCCCGGTGTTCTTTCATGTATTTACTGCTTACACCCAATACGGCTGGCATCTTCCTGACGATCACTCTACCTATTCCGTCTTCATACACGAAGACAATGTGAGGGCCGGGAACGTTAGTGTGGAGCAGGTTTTGAGAAATATTCCCCCTGAGCAGGTTCAGAGAATGAGGGAAACGGTGATTAGCTTAATCCCGAAAATCGTCTACGCCCAACCGAACAACAAGATGACTCTCAAGGACGGATTTGACATCGCAATTGAGGGTGTTTTGGGCAGAATTACCGATTACAAGAAGAGTCTCGGTGCGTCTGTTGCAGTCAAACACCAGCAACCAGAGAATAAAGATGTCCTCACTACAGAGGACATTTGGAGAAAGGACCAAGCTGAGAAGGAAGCGCAACGGATGAAACTGGAGCAGGCAAAGTCTGAGCAACTCTCGAGACTCTCTGATAGCAACACACAGTGAAGATTGCCGGTTTTGTAGCGCAGCCCAGTTGGGGCTTTCCACGACTTTCAAGGTTAATTCTCCTCTCTAGGACTTAGACAGTGCTCAAAGTGTGACTCGCCTTGTATATGTCCTTTTTGTAACTCCGTTTGCTATTGATTCCTTTTTTTAATTTCCTTCCCATGCCCAGAAAAACACGAACTTATTTGTGTTTTAGGAAATTTCTGTTATGTGGATGAAACTGTGCTGCTAGTCCAAGTGGCGTAACTCGTATGGGTGTAGCTCTTTTCCTGTACCTTTGGGTCCTAAGCTTTCAGCAAAAGAATTGCGGTTTTTTTATTGGGTTTTTTATTTGAAGATAAGCAGTCTGGCAGATGACGGCATCTGCCAAACTGCTCATCTTCAAATTTTGGTCATATCTTTCAGTCCTTCGCTGAAGTAATCACGTGCCGTTTATCACTCATTCACCTTCTTTTCGTCAACGTACAGTTTTTTCTCACATATTGGCATCTCTGCTGCGCCGTGCCTATATCTTGCAGAATCACTCTATCAGTTCTGTGTTACACATTTCCTAGAGTGTCAGCGTTCTAGGTTTTCTAGAGATCAGATCTTATTATTCTGTTGATAACACCCCGGTCTTCGTCAGTCAGATCATTCTCTTTATGTCCTAGCAATGTAGGTTTAGGCTTCTACTGCAGCTCAGTGCAGACATTGTGTAAAGTTCGGCATTGTAGATTGAAACACAGTGACAACGCCCCATGATATCCTTAGTTTCTATAGTCGTTGGTCACAGATCTTGTACAAGATCACGAACGTATTCTACACTGTACGTCAGATATTGCTCCATCTATTGCTGGATATCCAGTCCTGACACTCTTGGTTGGACGACGAAGGCGGAAGCTCATGTCCTTGAGTGTCTCTCTCTGCTTCGCTGTTTCAGTGCAGCTATTGATGTTTGATCTTTCTTTGTTGTATGTGGCAGTGGCACTGCGGAATACGATTTCCTTCCGCTTGCACGTCAGTCACCAGTGCCAACGAGTCGTCCGAAGAGGTTCTCTCTACCGAATGGATACTTGATGTGGTCGTTGCATTTCTACCTTGAGGGATAAATGAATGTGGACGGGTGGAGTGAAGAAAGGAGTCCATTGCATAGCAAGAATACCGGCGTCCATGATTCGGTATATAATATACACACCCTTGTGTGGTGTACAGTGTAGGTTCAACTTAGATCGAATAACTTCAGATTAGACTTCTCGTTCGTCATTCATGGCAATTCTGGTGTGGGACGTTCGACCAAATGTATGTTCCAGTATTATTTTTTTGTCGTTAGCAAGTTTATCGTATCCACTGAACCGGACATTTATTCAGCAGAGAAACCTGATCATCTATGTGTGAAGGAAGTAAGCTGTGATAAGTTACTGGGATGGAGACCTGGTTCAAACCTCTGTGGTACTGGCAGCAAGCTCTCGTGGACCGACGGCCCATCTCAGATATTAGCTGGCTGTCCATGAATCAGGAGGCGAAGCGTTCGAGGTTAGAAACCTGGATGTCATAGACAGCCCTTATCACTCCTACGGCCTAACAGTATCTCATCTGTGGCGGAAGACATCGGGTAGTAGAAAATTTTCCCTGCTTGGTCGTCACTTGCTTCCTCCTCTGAAAGGGGTGAGTTGTATTTCATAAATGTATTGCAGAAGCTATAACAACATTGTCTCTCATGTACTTCATGCATATTTGTCTGTTTTCTCGTGAGTGGTTTGAAGTCTACATACTTAGTTTTGTCGGATTGGCTTGTAGAGATCCCACGTTGGCTGCCGTCGCATTTGACATTTCTTCCGTCTTCTCTTACAAAGGGAATAGACCAGCATGTAGACGATTTGAATATGGGTTGCTGTGTCGACGTTTAAAGTTGTTTTACACGCAATCTAATTGTGATCTCGAAGTAGGACATGCTGTATAGTATGGTTGGATGGGGCCTTTTATTTTATGAATTTCAGGAAAGAGCACATGGAAGCGACGAAACCTAAGTTCAGTTCCTCCATACCACCCAAAAATGTCGACCTCACTATAAATTGTGATTTGCAAAATCACCTCACATGCTCCACATTTAGAAGTATACTTGATCGGAACGAAAATTGCATATCTCTTCGTGTGAGGGAGAGCGTATGATCATATGATTGTTCCAGGTCCTTGCCTTGTGATTGGCTAGAATTAACAAGTGTTAGTGACAAGACTGAGAATTGTCTTACGTAGAGTCACAACACTTTATTTCACTAGTCGGCTGATAGTCGGAATTTGTCTTCGCAAGAGCGAGTGTAGGAGTCAGCTGTCAAAATGTATTAACTCCATTTTTCTTCTGCTCAAAAAATGAATTGACCGAGGTGCTGGCCCGTTTTAGTAATGGCATGAATGTCATCCTTAAAGCAGGACATGAAGGCTCTTGCCCTTGGAGACGCGGAAGGATAGCCCAAGTCCGAAGGAGATACGTGGTCTATTTCAAACTGCCTTCTTTATTGAGTTTTGATGGTTTTTCTGCTTTTTACCCTGACGGGATTCTCAGCAACGCCAAAATTGAGTGTAAAGACACTAAGCATTGTCAAGGGTAGGATTAAGAGCATCCAGCACCTGGCCTTGGCTGCCTTCAAATTCCTGAAGGCTCTATCCATCCATACAGAATATGTGTACTTCGAATTAGCATTAGAGCGATGGTTTCCAAACTTATTTTTTACAGCTATCTATGATATATAAAGCGGTTACAATTTCAATATCAATCTCTAGGCCGAACAGAGAAGACAGAGTCAATTGATACATGTTTGATCAAATAGAAAAACAACTTGATTTGAATGATGCATGTTTGTCTTTTGATTGCTGTAGAGCTAGCAAGTTGTGTCGAAATCTTCAATGGTAGCAATTTTAACACTAATTTCATCAATATCTGCACCATAAGTCTAACCTAGCGATTCATTCATGTGAGTGAAATATATTTATCATTCAAAAATACGTCATGAAGGAAAATCTCCAAGATTTAACAAAATGAAATAGCTGCCATGAAATTTATTCTTGCTTAATATGACATAATCTATACTATGAACCTGATGATCATTTGCTCTCAGAAGGACAAAACAAAATCAAGCTGAAGTCTGAAATTGTGAAGAAGAAGTTAAAGCAATTTATAGAAATAATAACTTCAAAAGTTCTCGAAAAGTAGTATGTGAATATTGTAATATTACATTTATAACCTTTTGTTTTGGAAAAAATGGTAAATAAAATAATTGTACAATCCAGTTTAAGTTTTTTTAACAAAGATTTCATTGCAAAAAAATTTCAACAGATTGTATGACTCAAAACCAATAAACTTCAACATTAAAGATTCTATTAACAAAATTCATGATCACTTTAATACTTTTTGTTGATTTAGTGAAAGGTTTGAAAATTTTGAAGAGTAGATAAAGTATGAGAAAAATTTTATAAAGTATGACTTTATTTCATCACTTGAATTAATTTTTTTCTTTAAACTGATTATTGTTATGTGTGTTATATTCTTCTAATATCTTGAAATGTTACATTTTTTTCACAAGTGCTTTGATGATATAAAATTTTTATGATGATGACATTCTTTTTATCTTTTCATCCAATACAACACATAATGTGACTCAAATACATTCATATTCACACAATGACAATAGTGAAAAGAGAGTCAGATTTAAAATCAAATTCGAATTTGAAAATAAATTATTAACCAAAAAAGAATAATTTATTAGCAATAGGTCAAACCTGATAATAAAAAATGTAAATATGTTTGAGATCAAAGCCGATGTTACTCATTTAACGAATGTGTCTCAGTAGTTTGATCTTGTGATTCATGACTTTCTTAACAATGTACTTTAAGACTTGAAGTATGTCCAATGCAATAGATCAAAAGATATTAATAATTAATCATACGTAGATTATGCTTGTTTCACAAGATGCGCACCCCCAAAGTTGAAGCGCTTCACCATATGATTGAATGGTTCAATTGTCGTGAATACCGGGGACTACATTTATTAAATTAAAGGATTTTTTGATATTTTTTAATCAAATAATTTAATTTCTTTATAAATTGATATATTATATCAGTTTATATCTTCAATTTTTAAAATCAACTAAGAATAGATGTTTATAAAGATAAAATTAATACTGATTCAAATAAAATTTATATCTTCTATGAAAAAAAATATTTATGTTGTTAAATTTCATATTTAATAGATCTTGAATGAAATTCTAGAAAAATTATTCAAGCTGAATATTGATGATAAAATCATGTTCAAAATACATAAGAAGAAAAATCTATAGGCCAGAACAAAAAAGCAGAGCTTTTATTCGCTTCGCATGCTAGAGAACACAACCATACATAGGCAAGTCAATTATACTAGATTTTAATTTAACATTCAAGGTTTAAATACATGATACCTATTCACTTGACATTTCTTGGCAATGTATCTTTTTTCCTTGCATACGTAATTAATTTAAAATTTTTTGAATATTGTGATCTAAATAAATATCATAAATATAATTTGTAATGTTAGAAATTACAAGTCATAAATTTTTTGGAAATACGTATGCAATGGAGTTTGAAGATATTCATTAAAAAACTTTGTTCAAAATGAATTATAATATAAATTATTTATCTTAAAAAGATTGTTATAGGCATTCAAACAACATTGTTTACATAAAAATGCACAAACTAAATCAACATTAGTCATATGTGGTTCATCATTGCGGATTACATTGCATAAAACATCTCAAAGTTTTATAAAAAAAATCCCCAAAAATGTAATCAATAGCTTTTATGACCTCTTTATATCATGTAATTTCAATTTTTATAAAAAAATTGAGCTCAAGATTATATAAATAAAATAAAAAGTGTAAATTGTTTCAAATTTTTTTATCAATTTTTATTCAAAAATGTGTGAAAATATAATTTATCAAAAAAATTAAAGTTTGTAACTTTGAAAAGTTGAAAACTTTGAATTGATATTAAGATCAAAAATAAGATGTCATATATATATGTACACAAACTGCATAAAGAAGATGGTTTGATGGTAGATTACAAAGTGAGAGTTCCGATTAATCTTGTGGCAAAAAAAAATTCCTGTCAAATAGTGTTACTATGAAATTAGGTTTGAATTTCATGAAAAATGAGAGTGAGAAAATTGAATTTCCAAATGGAATAACACTAGAAATAAACACATGAAGTAATAGAAACATTACCACGGAGTCTATAATTATCAATGGGTAGATACAATGGGAACATTGAATAAAGAGTAATTTGCTTAGCTCAATATGATATCACACTTAATACGTCATAAAATGGAGCAATATTATTTGAAGTAAGATTAGAGAAAAAAAGTGATAACAAGTAGTGGTTTGAACATCTTTGGAGATAGAATTAGATCTAAGAATAAAAATTTATCACTCTTTGTAATTAGCAAAAACTCTCATTTAGAGATGTTTTATGTTTCCTTGGACTTATAAGAAATATTGGATCCACAAATAAATTTTACATCTTGGAATATTTGAACAACATTCTTATAAAGAATGAAGATTTTTTTTTAGATCATCTAGTTGCAATATTTATCATCAAAGAGTCAAATAGTTGATATCTGGAAGTACATCAACTTGCAAAGTTTTTATATTATTTGACTCCAAACCAATTGAAAGAATGCAAAGCTCAAATGTAGAAGATATAGAACAAAGTATTCATTTAACTAAGTATTTCACTTTATATAGCTTCAAAGCTCTTTGTGAAGAAGTTTGTATCCATGAGATAATTCATTGATTATTGTGATTTGAATCAACAAATGATTTGTTTAATCAACTTCAAGAAACTAAGTACTTCACCAAGCTACATTTGAAAAGAGACGACAATCAAATTTGAATTGTATATGAAGATATCCACAAGACTGATTTTTGTACTACACATGATCACTTTGAGTTACTAATGATATACTTTTATGTCACTAATGTAGCACCTACATTCATGAAATTGATGAATGATGTCTTTTGTCCTCATCTGAATAAATTTGTCATTGTTTTTCTAAATGATATATTGGTGTATAGCAAAATTTTGAATGATCATAAACGTCATTTACTTGAAGTTTTGAAATAAAATCTATAATATGCCAAAGCTTCAAAATATAAATTTATCCAATCAGAAGTAGATTAATTGGATTATAGAGTTACAATCGTAAGAATCCAAGTAATGAATGAAAAGATAGAAGCCATTTAGAAATAGACAACACTTGATGATCAAAGTCAATTGAAGAGTTTTTTAGGTCTCATTGGATTTTATCATAAATTTGTAAAAAATTTTGTTAGTCTAGTTCATACATTGATTTTCATGCTAAGAAAAAATAAAAAAATGAAGATGGGAAACAACTCAAGAGTTACTTTTTTAAACATTGAAAGATGTTTTGTTACACGCATATATACTCAAGTATTTTGATACTAATAGTTCAATCAAGTTGACTATTAGCGCATCAGGTACAACCGTGTATGACATATTTCAACAAGAATGGGAGTATGTATGATATACAATTATTTTCTATTCTTGAAAATTGGTGATGACGGAAAAAATTTACTACACAACAAAACAAGAGAAATTAGCCATTGTGTTATCAACAAAACATTGTAAGCATTACTTGGATGATTACCAACATGTGGTGGAGACCGATCATATATCTTTGGTTATAAAAAAACTTAAAAGATCTGTGTAAACAAAAAATTTGATGGACAGAGTGGCGTCAAACGCTTCAACATGAATATTGTGTATATGAAGTACAAGAAGCAACTTGCAAATGCTCCCACATGTATGCATTGTTTCAATCATGTTGCAAAAGCAAAGATTCAAATCTATTGATAGAGCAAAATGACACATGCCACAAATGAGAATAAAGAAATCATGAGTACACTACAAGCTGGAAAAGTAGAAAAATCTAGAGGTTTGACGTTCTACGAACAATGTATATGAATTTTGCAAGACCAAGAATTACACACAATGATTTTATCTAACGTCAAAATGCAGCCATTGCAAACCATGTGGGAGCGAAGAAGATTTTGGAAAGCATCCAGCAAGTTTACTTTACGAGGCCTAAACTACAGGAGTATGTGGAAGTTTACATTTGAAGTTGTGTTGTTTATCAACAAAATAAGTCAAATAATTTAAAACCAACTAATATATTATAGCATCTTATTATTTTTGAACATCGATGGGAACATATTACCATAGATATCATATGTGAGTTACCAAAAACTTGGTTAGGAAATGATTGAGTGATGGTTGTTGTGGATAAATTGAGCAAAATTATTCCGATCAGGTTAAGTACAAAAATAGTGACGGTTTCACAACTTGCTCAATTGTACTTAGATGTTATTTTGCTGAATCATGGATTAAGCAAAGTCTTAATCATTGATGAAATAATCATTTACTAGTTTATTTTGAAAAACTTTATTTAGTTTTTCAAAACCAAATTGGTAATTTCAAGAGCTTATTTTATTCAAATTGATGGTAAAAAAAAAGAATCAATAGAATTATAGAGTATATTTGACATGCATTCAGATTAAAGTAGCAAGAAGAGTAGATTACTCTTTTGTTTGTTGTGGAATTTGCATACAACTTTCTCTAAGTTTATCCACAAAGGTGTCTTCATTTTACCCTATGTACGATGTTCATCTCATTACTCTAACAAGTTTGATGAAATTTTTGAAAGGAAAGTAAATCCCAACTAAATTAACTGCGATCAATGAGTTGGTGGAACATATCCACAGAGTACTACATCAAGGAAAGTAAAAGATGTTGATTGCTCAGAATTGACAAAGATAACATGTAGATGCTCATCATCAGGAGGTAATTTTTTAGGTTGGAAATCAAGCTTAGTTATCAACAACAAATTTGTATCTTGTAAGAACATCGAAGTTTAATCCTAGATTCATTGAAATTTTTGTGGTATTGAAACTTGTTGGTGAAGTGTCATACAAGTTATAACTTCTGTCACATATGAAGATACATTCAATAATTCATGTGTTACAATTGCAAAAACATGTACCACAACCAAAGCATTTCACAAATCAACTAAGGTTAGGTAATGATTGAATGTATTAGTTGAGAACATCACGTCACCCATCTGTGTGCTTGTTAGGATTATCCGCCACAACATACATCCATTAAGAGTGGAATGGATAGTGAAAATGAAATTTTAATTTCTTGTACTTGTTGATAAGAGTTATATAAGATAAAAAAAAATTATTATTTGTAGTTTTCATCCTGATAGTTTATGTTTTTTTTTTGAGTGAGATTTTGTCTAAACCGTAGTATTAAAATATTTTAATTTAATGTAAAAAAAACTTAAAATCAAAAATCATCAATATTATTTGATGAATTTCATAATGCATAGTTTATCATCATAGTACATACTTAAATAAGTCATACTCTTGTGATCAAATCTTTGAATCATGACTAAAATATATTATCATCTCTGATTTTCACTCAATACTTTTTCTAAAATGATCACTTTTTTCACATCTTTAAAGATTTATTTCAAAATTCAAATCTATTTTCAACTGGAAATGATTGTTATCTTTGTCAATTCATAAATATAATAAACCTCAAATCATATTTAGTGTTAAATACAATGAAAAAGGTATTAGTGGATGAAATCATCATTTCTTGATATAAATCAATTATACTACAAAAAATCATCTCATATACACAATATTTTAAAATGTAGGCAGGCAAAAGAGTATCATGCATATGAAATCATAAAAGCAATTTTGTGTCAAAATGGACTCAACATGAAATAGATTTTGCACACAAGGTCTTGCCAAGTCACTTTGAGCAATTCACAAGCGTCATGGACATTCATCGCTAATAAGTGATAATTGTTCAAACCTGTGATGTTCATAATGTCAAGAAGTTAAAAAATATAAAACAAGAAAAAATATCAATCCCTAGCTAGTGCAAAGAACATTAGAATGTTAACTAATGGTACTTTTAATATAACAACTTAAATCAAAAGAAATTATTTTGATAAGAAATAAAAATAATACTTAATTACATTGGAGATAGAGAACAGTTTTTTCAATAGTTTTAATCATATAATCAAATAAAAAAGAATTAAAAACAAATAAAAGATGAAAAACTCATAAACCTACTAAGTCTTGGCATGCGTGAAATCTATAGCAATGAAGATTACATGTGTTTATATCATAAATATGATACATACCATAGGCAGTTTTATATCTTATACATATTTCACTTTAACTACACTTTGGGTAACAAAAAGATGTTCTAGATCTCTATACTATTGTCCGCCCTGCTACTACAATATTACTTTTTCTAACGCTCATAATAATGCAGGTTTATCCTCGCCTAGACAATAAGTATTTACGGAATCAGGCTGAGAAAATGTAATCCGCATGTGGATTATCATGTCTTCGATATAAAAGTCTTCATACATAACCCTCCTACATAAATGAAACGTTCAACAGATTTTCTGACTCACATGATGCAAGTCTCAATAGATTCCGAGCATGAACTCCGCAGTTTCCTCGCCGGTCGTGAAAAGACGACGGTCGATTAACGAGTACTTCCGAGGCGAACTGACGTCGAGCACTGACTGCATCAGATTCTGCATGGAATGCCGCAGAAAGGCATCGAGACTTTTCAATCGAGCGGGTTTCGTAGCGAACGACGGGAGAAGGTGCTCTATCTGCACCATCTCGATCGGGACGATCGGCTTCGATCTTCTGTGCAGGGCTGACGCACGTACAGGAGATGTGATGCAAGCGTAATGAAAGGCGCCTACTTTCCCCCAAAATTGAATAGCGGAAATAGGGTTCGTCAAAAGTTGCAGAAACCACAACTTTTGACGTAGGACACAATTGTGGCCCGGGCGATGCCGAATTGACATTTCTGTCACGGCCCACCTGCACGTTGGAATATTATTTGGCATCCGGTTCCTCTGCCGCCGTGGCAGGAAGGCGGAACATCAGCAGAAGTGGTGTTGAGGATCCGCAGCGATCTTTGTCTCTCCGGTGGCAACCGAAGCATCAGCGAGATGCAGGCCGTGACGTGTTGTCACCACCATCTCGCAACAGTTGGTAGGAATGCTCATGATGGGATGAGAGTCGCAACGCATCGTCAATGGCTCCGTGCCAAGAGTTGCTGCTTGCATGGCACTTGGGCTGACACTTGGTCCATGGTGGCAGACACCCGAAACTCTTCGGACGGAAGAGGCACAACAACAACAACAACAACAACTTTCTGCAGCGGATGAATTTGCCACGTTTATATGTGCGTCACCCGTTTATTGGGAGACGAGAACTAAACAAGGTACTTGCTCGAGCGGAAGAGTGGACCTTCGTATCCACCAGCAGAAACAAGCAGCAGCAATTGGAATGCACTAGAAACAAAATTGGTTTGACAGTGGTACATTCGTCGACTGTGAATTAAAAATGTCGACATTGCGGAAACCAGCCGAGGAGGCAGCAGCGCCTGAGCAACGCGCAGCTCCCTTCATACCGAAACCCAATCCCAAAGCAATTGCCAGGATAAATCGAGAGATGCGGCAGCGGATGTACCTTATGGGGAAGAGGTTGATAGGAGACGAGAGGCATCCTGGAGGAATTGAGTTTTATGTCATGGGAGAAATCGGCAAGATTTTCACTGTTAAGATTCGTGAGTTTCCCTGTTGTCAGTGCGGAGACTTTTTGTTGACCAGGTTGTGTAAGCACATGGTTTTCGTCTCCATGCGGGTATTGAAGTTGGACAAAGACGACCCTCTCATCTGGCAGAAAGCGCTCGTTCCGTCCGAGCTGAAAAAAGTCCTGATGAATCCCGCAATTACACCCCCGAAGCCCAAATCCAAGTTCAAGAGGCTCAAGGAAAGCTTCTCGTTTGGCAACGGGCCCCACGATCTTCTCGAGCATGATCCTATGTATTGCCCTGTCTGCTGCGAAGAAGTGAATTTCTTTGAAGAAGAAGTTTACAAACGCGAGGAATCGTTACTCGATGATCTCTACGCGGAGAAACCAAAAGCTTTGGGAAAACCGAAACTGGACATGGGAATCTCAAAGAAGAAGCCTCCGACTCCTCCCCCGGTAGAAGCAGCAGCTCCTGCTCCTGCTCCTGCCCCTGCTCCTGCGGATCCACCTTCGCCTGCGGAGACTTCTCCGCCTGCTGAAGGTGCAGAAGGAGCTGATCCCACAGAGGCTGCAGCAGTAAAAGCTGAAGCTTCTCCTGCCGCTGCCGTGGAAGCGGGAGCATCTGCTGCGGCCCAAGAGGAAAAGCCAGCTGAGGTCGCAAAGCCTGTTGAAGTTCAGCCCCCTCCTCCACCTCGACCAAAGCCATTCGAGCCGTTACTCTTCTGCCCGAAGAAGAGTTGTGAATTTGAAGGATGCGTCAAAGTTGTACACCGGTTCTGCTGGCTAAAGTGGGGTCGTTTCCACAGAGTTGACTATACTCTTCCCAATATTGTACAAGTTAACAATAGTTTTCCTCTGGCTTCAATGTGTCACTGAGTATTTTCCTCTGGATAAGTTTTGTTCATAGTGTCAACAAATTTTTGCTGATTTGTAGATAATAGTGCAATTTTAGGAAAAACTTCATTTACAGTTCATTATCCGATAACATTTTCATATGTTTTATCTTTTCATATGAATGATAGCTATGGTCAACTTCATTTCATAATTCCCGCTCTGTCACAATCTTTCTTGCAATTACCGGATTATTCGGACGATAGCACCTGCGAACGTGTTTTCCTTCCTGCATTTTCCTTTATTTCCAGTTTTTGTTAGATGACGCTCGACACAACTGAGTACTTCTCAATGGTCCGAAAAATTTGACTGCTTTATAGGCGGGTCGTAGATATTTCACTTCTGCATCCCGGTTTCATTCGACTTAGATCCGAATGCAAAACCCAGGAACTCAATTTCAGCAATCGCGTTGTCTCTGATACCAGCATACAAGTAGACCATTTTTTTGTACAAAATGAGATAGATTTATTAGAGAAGGCGAATCACAGGAGCTACTCCAGGTAGCGATTGGCAGCTTTGAAGTAACCTACGAAGCAACTATATACACCTGGTGCCGACGGACTTTTGAGTTCCGTGGCAGGCCATCTCCTCGCCAGCTCCAAATGCCTAATCTCACAGCTGAAGGATTTTCGTCTAGTTTCCGGGGGTGAAGGTGGTGGCGTAGGCCCAGGCGTTGTTGGCAACGGGGTCAGCCAAGTGGTCGGACAGGTTCTCGATGGGACCCTTTCCGGTAACGATAGCCTGGACGAAGAATCCGAACATGGAGAACATGGCGAGCCTTCCGTTCTTCAGCTCCTTGACCTTCAGCTCGGCGAAGGTGTCTGGGTCCTCAGCCAAGTTCAGGGGGTCGAATGAGCCTCCGGGGTAGATGGGGTCGACGACATCACCCAAAGGACCTCCTGCTACTCTGTATCCCTCGATGGCTCCCATGAGCACAACCTGGCAAGCCCAGATGGCCAGAATGCTCTGGGCGTGGACGAGGCTCGAGTTACCGAGGTAGTCCAAACCTCCCTCAGCGAAGATCTGTGATCCAGCCTTGAACCACACTGCCTCTCCGAACTTCACACCGTTCTTGGCCAACAACTCGGGGAAAACGCATCCCAGAGCTCCCAACATGGCCCATCGAGCGTGGATCACCTCCAATTCACGGTTCTTGGCGAAGGTCTCGGGGTCAGCAGAGAGTCCTGCAGTGTCCCATCCGTAGTCACCGGGGAACTCACCAGTCAGGTACGAGGGGGTAGCTCCGGAGAATGGGCCCAAGTACTTGGGTCGGTCCTCACCGTACCTTCAGAACACAATGCAAGCAGCTCTCATCGTCAGCTCAGAACCCAATCGACTCAACAGAACCCAAAAACAGAGAAATGTAACAGCAGAAATGCATTCACTGAGCTAGACTTGAAGAGAAGCACAATGAGGCTGATCATGAGATCGTTACCAGATGGAGGCGGGGGCGGCGGCCTTCGAGGTCTTGCGCATGACAACGCGGGCCTCACCAACATTCACCTTCTGGGTGAGGGCATTGCCGGACAGGCCCAAAGCCTGTCCAACGAAGGTGGATGCGGAGACGGCGGTGGCGGCCATGCTGACTAGAAGGCGGTGGGAGGAGGTGAAGTGTTCGAGTATGAGAGGAATGGTTGAGTTGCAGAAAAGCTGGAGAATCTTTATATGTTCGACTAAACGGAGTGCAGGTAGAGAGCGTAGATGGACGTGGCGGGGGTAAAAGGGATAGGATATCTGATAATATCGAGTGAGCCAATGAGGCCAGATGCTACGAGCTATCACGTGGCTGTTCAATCCTCATGCGATTCCCCGTAGCCCCTTCGGATATTGTGGTTTTGTCCTTTCATGTCTCTGGCCACTCGTTCGTTCCTCGCATGTCGCCCGAAGCTGTTCTCCCGCGCTTCATTGGCCTGCCCCTATCGCATGCCGCTCCTGCCACATCCACGAATCTCCGACCTCTTTCTCTTCCCACAATTAGCCGGACTTCTTCTCGCTTTTAGCCTTATGGAATATCTCGATCGTCTTCTGTCAAGTTCTCTGCGATGGAGCGTACTCGGGGAATAGTCTACGATAAAAAAATTGCACATCATCTAGTTGATGAGGAATCAAATGCACAATGATGAGGCCTTACGACATGGCTCGGGTACATTATAGATTGCCTTGCTTGTGAGCAGATTCTCTGGCCATCACGTAATCCCAGTTCCTTGACATGGAAAGAGTTTAGAAAGTGACGTTTTCCCAGTCCAGAAGACAATCATAACTGTTGAAGTCATCTACTTATTCTTGGCAAATCAAAAGTAACTCCAGTTTTTCCTTCTTCTTCTTCATATTGCAATGTTGTGTATAATTTAAAGATCTTAACCATTATGAATAAAACGATTTATGTAATAACATTTTCAGCCAACAAAACTATTCATTGATTTACACTAATACGTAAATTTTCTTCAGGAAATAGTTGTAGTTTGAAAGAAATTTTATGAAAATTATATTGATTGAAATAGTGTTTAAATAAGAAGTCGATACATAATAATCGACAATCAAGCCAAAGTCAACTTCTTCTATGATGGATTTTTTATATTTAAAAGATGAAAATTAATTATACCATGATTTGAAAGTCAATAATATAATACGTTTAAATTTTTAGTGAACAAGATCGTTTTGTGGACAATTTTTGGTTCCAACAAAATGACATAAATACATTCATTTGATGCTAATCAAAATATTATGAATCTTATAGATTCATAATTTTTCAAAACAACATTCAACTTATTTCAGAAGTTTTAGCGCTTGAAAGTTGGCTAAGCAAATGATGTACAAATCTTGAGAAAAAACTGTTGACTCTACATATCAAACTTTTAACATTACTATGTTATGTCATTGTTAAGAAAACAAAATGATGCAACTATTATCGTCATGTCAATTACGATGTTTTGTACTATAAACTATGTTTGTATCAAATTCAAAATATATTCAACGTTTTTTTATAAGTAAAGTGTATCGTTTAGGAATAAATAGCAGAGGTTGAAAAACCTTGATGTTTTGATTTAGCAGCATAGTCATATTGATTTTTTTATAAGAACTACAATATTTATTTTATTAATATATCCACATATTGTAAAAATACAATTTGTTGTTTAGATTTATGTTATCAAATTATTTTTCTGTCTAATGTTGAAAATAATTTTAAATAATAAATATTATGATTTTTTAGAAAATATGTCATTTCAATAACATACGTTAAATTTATATAATGCAAACATATTCAGGAAATTCTTATCAAAATTAATGAATATACTCCAAAAAAATCAATATGCAAAATCAAAATATGTAATAAAAACTACATCATCATTTTTTAAGTAAAAAAATTTTATTTAAACATATATATATACATCTAATAATAATATAAATATTTTAAATTTTATCATTACAAATAGCAAATCAGTGCAAACTTAGTGTATCTTGTGCAAATGAAATTTGCACTATATAGAATGAACTTACAATTTCATCAATACACATGAATACACATATCAGAAAATAAAAATCTATTATTATGGAGTTTTTATCTCTTCATGAATATTCAAAATGCATATAAACAGATTAATTATAGAAATAATATAAATAAATAAATTTTCTAGAATAAATTGCATTGTATTTAGATTGAATTTTGCATAAACTAAATTCAAATGAAAATTTGTGAGCAATCCGAAATTTTCTATGTTTACAAAGTTTTATAACTACAATAATTACATCTCACAATCATATTCATGAGTACAATATTTAACAAGTTTTTTTTCTTCTTATGTTTACAAAATTTATTATTCTAAGGTGTAATTAGATGCTCATTTTTTGTATTTTTTTAAATATTATAGATTACAATTAATATGTATCATAAGAAATTTGATTTTTTTAATATATTGTAAATAATTGTACTTATAAAATGATTCATATTTAATTAATCTTTACATCTTTTTTATTTTTTTTATTTTACAGGTCAAATATGTACAAATTTTGTCACATATGCTTATTATTTTAAATTGGATCATATTGTGCAATTTTTTTTATTGCTTAAGTGCATCATTTTTTTTTATCGAAGTTTTCAAAATTTGCTGAATTAATGCTCGTATACAAATCATATGTTTGGTATAATTAAAAAATCAAAATATTTGAAAATTGAATTGACATTATCGACATTAACACCTTTTGAATGTTGCAACTCATACATGTATCAAAAAATAAATTGTATTTGATATTTTTTTAATACTGAATGATATTTATTTCATATTTTTATCCAATTGCATGTTTATATAATATTTGTGATAATCATCATTTTCTGATTCTCCATCGTAGTTAGAATAATATTTTATTTTGGTCCAGTGATTATCAACATTTTAATTTTATTAAATATGAAAAAATAACAAATTATTTCAATAATCTAAGAATATGTTTTTTTGTTTCATGAAATAAAAACTGTATATTCTACAAAATTTTAACTATTGTTATTGATTTTGGCAAAAAATTATAGAAATTATATTGATATTTTTTTTAAATAACATTCAAATCTGGAACATATTTCAATGCAATTGATTTTTAATTCTTAGTTGTTGTCCTTCCTATTCATAAGAAAACAATATAGGTTTGTTCTAGCATTTGACTTATACAATAACTATTTGATTTCGTGATCTAATTAGTTTAGTTGGCAATATACATGTTTAAAGAATAAATAATGTCAATCATATGATAATTTTATTTTTATAACTTTAGAATATTTTTCTTAAACAAAGATTTTTTATAACTCCAAAACTTGTTCTATATACATCATGTTCATATTGAAAAAAAGTGTTAATTACTAGGATATTAAAATTTTATTAAATAAAGTCCTAAAATTCAATGTGAAATCACATTTTGGCAGATTGATTAATTTTTGTTGATGAAATTTTAATCTGTTTGCAGATTCAAATACATTTATCAATTTAAAATATATATTTTAATTAACATTAACATAATAATATTTTATATAATCACATATATTACTAATTTATATTAAAATAAATATTATTCTTTTAATGATATGTGATTTTACGTTTTACCTAATTAACAAAATTACTCCTCATACAAGAAAATAATCTCTAGAATCTTCCAAGCACAATTTTTTTTGTATTAATTTTTGCTTATATCTCTTCACATTGTGATGATTGTTGTTAATTTACTAAAATTTAATGTCTTTTTTTTTATCGTTTTCTACTTTATTTATTATTTATTCGTTAATTTTTTTTGAATTTACTTTTGAATAATATTATGTACATTAGATATTTTTACATTTTTAATATTTTTTTCTAAAATTTTTAAAATAAAATATTTCAAAAATCATTTATTTCACTCATAGTGAATTAATGACTTGATGAACAGAGCTAAAAATTGCGCTACAAATTGTAACAATCATTGAAATATTTTGATATAGACACATTGATTGCTGATATGTCTTTATCAATTAAAGTACTTACTTTGTTCACATATAAAATACACTTATCACTGAAATAATAACTATAGAGGTAAACTATGTTAAGTCACCCTTCTTTGATCTAACCACAGATGTCCACACTTTCTCCTTGAATTTGCTTTGAATGTTCGTAGTTTATAGATTATGTACTTCTAGTCAAAATATAAGATCTTTTAAAATCATAAAATTCAAACAGAATCAAAAAATTAGAAAGATTTAGCCAACATCATAAACTCATCAAGCTCAAATGCAGATGCTATTTGATTAAATATGAAATACATGTTATATATATTTTTTCACAAAAATATCATGATAAATTTGTAAATTTGTGCAATTAGTTGGAAACAAAACCTTTTTTAATTTCTCATGTTGTAGATTGTACAAAAAGATATGTTTTCTTTATTGATTTTGATGAATATATGTATGATCTCATTATATATCATCAATTGTTGAATTATTGTGCCAATCATATTTTATATATAACCTACATATGTTGTTCATCTTCATAGCAAAATTGAGATCATCGTTGAGTTAAAAAAATATGATTTCTTGTATGTTGATCTCTTTCATCAGTTTTTTTGGTTCATTTTTTATAAAAAAAAAATAATTATTTTTTTGAATACAAAACCTAAAATTCGAACAGTTTAAATTTAAATTCTATGACTTTTTTAGAATTTTTTTTCAATGAAACACAAAAGTCAAAGATAAACTGAAGCTTGTCTTTTACTTTTTTTTTAATTTTTTTTAACTTGTCCAAACCTGTAACCCTAAAGCTTACACATTTGGAGCTAAAATATTTAACTTCAACAGTGAGAAAAAATCTTCAACATCAAACAAGATTTTAAGTATATTATATTTTTTATGTTACATTCATAACCTTTGATTTTAGAGCAGATAGATAAGTATGACACTTTTGTTTCATAACTAAAATTTGTTAAACAAATTTTTATTAAAGAGAGTTGTAAAACAAATTCAGTATCTTATTGATAATTTGAAGATTGATCTTTATATTTTTGAAAAGTGTATTTGTGATGAGAAAAAGATCATTTATTTATAAAGCTCATAGCCTACTTCTAATTATGTTGCAGACAATCATTAACAAGAAAGTTGTAAATGTTTCATTTACTTGTACTACAA